TAGAAATCAATAATAGATTAACTAGAGAATCCACAATGCCTGGAAATTAAGCAACACACTTCTGTATGGCTGATATTTTAAAAAAGAACTCAGAAGTTAGAAAATATTTGGAACTGAATGATAACTAAAATATGGCATGCCAAAACTACTGTAGATAAAACTAAACCAATAATCAGAAGTAAATTCAAGAAAGAAATAGTATCATTTTCAAACGAACCATTCAAGTTAATAGGAAAAAAAGAAACACTTCTCAACTCATTTCATGAGGCCAGAAAGTCCTGATACTAATACCTAGCAAAGACATTACAAGAAAGAAAAGTACAGACCAATCTTTGTTATAACATAGACGAAAAAAATCACAAAATATTAGCAAACTGAAAAGATACTATATCACGATCAATTAAGATTTAATCCAGGAATGAAAGGTTGATTTAACATCAAGAAATAAATCAATGTAAGTCACCACATTATCAGAATAAAGAAGAAAAAACACATGATCATCCCAATAAACGCATAAAAAGCATTTGATAAAATTCAACACCTATTTATGATTTTAAAAAGAAACACCTTAGTAAAGTAGGAGTAGAAGGAGACTTTCATAATCTGATAAAAGTATCTATAAAATATTTCTAGATAATAGTACACTTAATGGTGAAATATAGAATGTTTTTCCACCTAGGATTGGGAGCAAGAAAAAATATATTCATTCTCTTCATCTGAACTCAATACTGTACTGGATCGCAGCTAGTGTAACAAGAGAAGGAAACAGAAGATATAAGATTGGAAAGGAAGAAGTAAGCATGGTATTATTCACATAATTATGACATGATTAACTACATACAGAATCCAAAATAATATAGAAACTATCTAGAAATAAGTGAATCTAGCAAATTCACTTATTATAAGGTCAATACATAAAAATCTGTATTTCTATATATCAGCAATAAACAATAAGAAAATGAAAATTTATAAAAATGCCATTTACAATAGTACTTCTCCCCACAAAAAAAAAAAAGCCCTACAAGTAAATCTGATGAAAGATGCTCAAGACCTCTACTCTGAAAACTAAAACATGGTTGGTTGAGATCAATTGAATAAAACATAAAATGACATATGCCATGTGCATGGATTGAAAGACTCCATATGATAAAGATGTCAATTCTCCCCAAACTGTTGAATAGATTCAATACAATCCTACCAAAGCCAGCAGATTGTTTGTGTGTATGTAATTGACAAGCTGATCCTAAATTATCTTAAAATCCAAAGGACTTAAAATAACCAAAATAATCTTGAAGAAAAACAAATGTGGAGTGTTTACACTACCAGATATCAAGACTTACAAGGTATCAATAATTAAGACAATATGCTACTGAGGTAAAGCTAGTCACATAGACCAATGGAACAGTAAAGAAAGTCCAGAAACGGACCTGCACGTTTGCAATCACCTCATTCATAATAAAAGCACAACTGCAATTCAATGGAGGAAATTATGGTCCTTTCAATAAGTGGTGGGGGCCATTAGCTATCCATAAAAGAAAACAAAATGAAATCTTGAATCTTACCACATACTATACACAAAAAATAATCTGAAATAGATCATGACCTGAATGTGAAAGGTAAAATAATAAAGCTCCTAGAACAAAATACTGTGTAATGGCTTCATGAACTTGGGAAAGCTATCTTAAATATGACCTAGACAGCACTATCCATAAAAGAAAAGATTAAATTGGACTCCATTAAAATCAAGAACCTGTTCATCCAGTGGCACCATTAAGGCAAGCCCCAACTGGAAAAAATATTTGCACTATATATATCCAACAATAGACTCAATATCCATTAAACATATAAAGAACTCCAATAAATCAAAACAAAAAAGACAACCTAATTAAAAGTTGGGCAAAAAGACTTAACTTCACAACAGAGGATATCCAAATGACCAAAAGTATACGAAAAGGTGCTTAACATTAATCATCAAAGAAAATTAAAAAAATTAAAACCACAGAACAATATGATTACATTCCCAGAGTAGCTAATTATAAAGACATGTACTGGTAGAAATGTGAAGCAACCAGTACAACCACTTTGAAAAGTGTTGGTCAGGTTAACTAAAGCTGGCCATATGTATACCGTATGATCCAGCAATTCCACTCTTGTTATATATTCAACTGAAATCCGTACTTATGTCTATAGAATTCTTATTTATAAATACTTCCAAACAGGAAGTTCTTCTAAACAGGAAGTGCACTCCAAATGTTCACTAACAGCAGTTGATCAGTAAACTGTGATATATTCTTACAAGGGAATACAATAGAAAAAGAACATATTACTGCTACATGCAATAACTGGCTGAATTTCATGCCAAAAATGCTATGTGACAGTAGCCAGACACAAGAGAACATGTAGGATATTACTGTTTATATGAAGTTCAAAAATAGGCAAAATTAATCTATGTGGTGATGGAGGTCAGAGTAGTAATTACTACTTATGGGTTTAACTAGAAGAAAAGACAAAACAGATTCTGGGATGCTAGAAATACTTAACATTTTTGGTGAAAGTTTGTTTCTCAGGGTGTCAACTTCTGCACCTCTGGTTTGTGTCACCGGGCCCACCTTGGCTGCTTCTGACAGAGCTAGATCCCACATGCTATGGTGCAAAGCTTTATCTGAGTCAAAGCCTCTGTGAATCTCTTTTGGCTAGACTTGGGCACCAGAGAGTAGTACTGCCACTCCGGCCAAGTGGAGGTCATGCTAAACTAGGCTCTTTCCCTGGGGAAGCAGAGAAAAGCCAATGGTGTAAGGAGATGAGGCAGCCATGGCAGCAGCATGGGCTCTCCACTGAGCAAGCAGCCAAGGCCCAGACAGCAGCGAAGGACAAGCAGATCTGGGGAGGCACCTAAACTGGGTCTGTCACATCTGATGGTCCCTGCCATAGGCAACTGTAAAAGCCACAACCAACAAGGGAAGGACAACTAAGGACTCAGATCCCTTAGGAATGAAAGGTTGGGTTACATCAAAAGGCAAACAACACAGATCAGCCAAAATGCTGGCTAAAAGTGAGGGAAATTGGTGACTAAGGAAGAATATGTAAATATCTATAATGGCCTTGAGATGAGCTCTAGCAGCAGACACTGAAATTTATTTCAATAATTCTCTTGCTTTAGATATTTTAGGAGATTGCAATTGGCCACCACTTTGAAGAAATTCTATGAATGATTGAACTTGGACCTTCTCTCAGGGAAAAAGCAAGACAGCTTATACTCACAAAACAATGCAAACTCTCCATTATAATATTGGTGCTAGATATTATGAAGGGACATGAATGCATCTGAGCAGTTTAAGGGGTGAATTATATTTGACTCATCTTACTGAACCTCTTAGATTTTCTTGGCCCAATCTGTCTACTGGACCCTCAGTCCCCACCCACTGCTTGCAGGCACCTTAGCTCCTCCTACACCACATGGCATGGGATCTCTCTTTCAAAGCTGCTACTTAAGGGGCTGGACGACATAATTGGAAGTTCAGGGCAGTTGATCACCTATAGGAGATGAGAAGGAGCCATTTTCCCTTCCTCACTCCCATGGACTGTTCTAAAGCATGGTTTCTTTGCAAAACCCGATAGCAAACATCCTGGAGGGGAGGGGAGGTGCACCTGCAAGACGACCTGCTGGGTCTCTTCACTGCAGCACAGTGGCCAGCTTAGCAGCACTTCACCTTTCATTGCTTCCCAGCCATCCCTGATTCATTTCCCTTTTCCCTCACCCTCACTGCTCTGAATTAAACTCTCCAATCATTAGTATGTAAGCTTGCCTTAGGCTGTCTTCCAGGAAACCCATGAAAGACAGATAATAGCTGGGGGTTGGAGATACTTAAGAATCTAAATGTTTTATGTCATGAATAATAAATGCATACAATTATTCAATAAGCATTGAATAAATTATTTTTATATGAAAGCATATTTGGATCATCTGGACAACCACTTATAATTGAGTACTTTCAGTTTATTTCAATTTTTCACTTTTGATTGCAAAAAGATTATGTACTTAACAGTAAGTACTAATTATTAATAGTAAATAGTAGTTTAAATTTTATGATCCAGCGTCAAAGAAGAAAGGACAGACAAGATGAAATTGATGCTTACCACCAAATGAAGACCAAATGAAGTCTGGGTTTAAGGGATACTTCAAGTAATTTGAATATAGGAAAATGGTAGACTAATTTGAGTTTCCAACTGAGGTCCAAAGAATCTATGCAGCAGCTATCAGTCCTTAATTCATGTTCTGAGAGACATTTAACTTCGGCAATTTGTTATCAGTTTGAATTTCATTGACATACAGTTGTGATGGAATAGGGAGAGAGAGGTCTGATGAGGAAACTCAAGGGAGACTGCTTTGCACAGTGAGAGAAATTTTATCTTTTGTCTCCATTGCAAATATTTAATAATATCTATGTTGCTTGCTAATGCTTTTGGTGCAGGTGGATTGCCTAAGGGGAGCCCAAGGAGTGCTGAGGTTATGTAATAATCAACAAGGACAAAAAACAAAAAGAACAACCTGATGGATAACCAGATACATGGTTTACACTTAACAAATGCATATTGAACACTCAGAACAGTCAGGCCTCCACTAGGCCGGCAGGGGTCAGAGGGTGGTTTTGGGTGGATTGGTGACCCTGGCTTAGCAAACATTTGTGAGGAGTAAACAGCTTTCAATGGCCAAGCTGCCTGTCACCTGTGAGTCCTTCCAGGGAACCGGATGTGGGCTCCCCACCCTCATTTCCTGGCATCTGGCACAGGTGAAGCCAAGGCTAATGATCTCTTCGGAATGAAATACTGGAAAGTACACAGAATCTGAGACTTAGCGATAGTGACTGTTCCTCGTATGGGAGACAAATGCAATAGTGAAACAATTTTGGGTCAAGGGGTTAAATCACATGATAAGCCACTTCTGGTAACTTGGAAAAATGTGTGTTTACCTATTCATATATATAGGAGGAAAGAAAGATACCTCCAGACCAACATTTTTCCAAAGAGAGAAATCAAAGAGTGATGTACAGCAATGGGGGCATTTAAAAGTTCTGTTCCCTTCTTGGTCCTTCACCTTCTGGAAGGGGTCCTGAGCAATTCACTTATCCAGCTTAACAATAATGGCTATGAAGGCATTGTCATTGCGATTGACCCTGATGTGCCAGAAGATGAAACACTCATCCAACATATAAAGGTAAGTTTGAAATGGTAATTATCCATGCTTTTAAAACAAATATTTAAATGTAATGTTGTGATAGAGTAACCATGAGTTCTATAACTCCAGCTGGATGATACTGTCAAATTATTTTCATGTCTGAGTCTCAGTTTCTTCAGCTATAAAATGGAAATAATAAAACATAGTTAACCACTAGGATTCCTGTGACAGATAAGATGATAAATGCAATGTACATAAGTTGATGCACAACTCAGAGTTGATACATTGTTGTGCTTAGTCTATATTTATTGGCTTTGGATGATGTCATTGAAAATTATTTAGTTCTGCACTAAGGCAGGGCCAGAGCCAACTACATTTGACCATGTGAGATGCATAGAGGATAACTTCTTTGCCTAATTTTATCAATGGCTTATAGAAGATTCCCATTTTATTATCCTAATTGTAACCCTCTTCTCTGTGACCCCAATATAGGAACCCAGGGTGTAAATTTCTGAATTAAAAACAGCTCTGACCCTTCCAATGAGAGGAAACCCTGCATTTTACCAGGCTATCCTTAGGGCTGCTTAGCAGCCTCACCTCACTTGTTACTTCTGTCAGGGGAAGGAAAACTAGGGGAGATGAGTCCTGCCGCACTGGCAGAGATGCCTGACTGTTGTAACACAGAGAGATTACAGAGGTCATGTACATAGCAACCAGCTCAGAGTAAGAGGAAAATGCCTTATGAAAGATCACCCCTGGAATCAGGCTATAGCACAATGAGGGGCAGTATTGTGTGATAAGCACAGAGCTGGTCTGTAGAAATGGGGATAATAATAAGACTTTCCCAATAGACTTTGCAAGGATTAAATTTAACAACATGTTTGTACAAGGGAAGCTGAGTGAAGAGCACATGGGAATTTTGCACTTTTTGTGTCTTCTGTAAATCTAAAATTATCTTAAAAATTTAAAGAGAACTTTAAAAATGCATGTACAGTGCCTGGTACACAGTAAGAGTTCAACAAATAGTGGGCATAGTCATCAGTCACTTGAACCTCTTTTAGTCCTTCCAGACGCAAAGGGTTCATTCTTTTTAACCAGTCCAAAGGGATTGAAGCTTGTTTTTGGGCAAAGTTCCTAAATATGAACTCAGAAGCAAATAGTGCAAGGGCCCCAAGGCTTGCTCCCAAAGGTTCCATGCCCTGAGCAGAAGCAAACCCAAAGAGATGGAGTTTGGAGAGAGAACCATCTCTACCACCAAGAGGAGTCTGGGGCTGGAGACGTGCACCAGATGAGGGGGAGGGAAGCTGACCTGTTTGACTGGAAGACTGTCAGGTATTACCGCCACTACTGGAAGGGAAATTCATACTTTTTGAAGTCTCTCAACAATTAGAAACCTTGGGTGAGTTTTTGATTGCCTCTAAACTTAGAAATGGAATCAGCAAAAATGAAGTAGCCACTTGGAGCAGTGGGATAAGGTAAGTGTGGGAGAAAATGTGGCTGGCATATTTCTGTCTCTGGATAGACAGTCTATGGGGCTCAGGAACATGCTAGAAGGAGAACACAGATCATCTCTAATGACAATGGGAATTTGTATTTATATGGTGCTTTGGAGCTTTCAAAATGTTTTCACCTCACTATCTTTAGGAGTTTTCCTCCTAAGAAATGTACTTCTCACTTTAATTATTATATCGGCTTTTGGCATGAGTCCTAAAAAAGTTGAGGATGAGATAAGTTGGTTTCCACATTTCCTTCTCTGTAACAGAACACTCTTTTGGGCAGAAGTGTGCTCAGAGTCCCTGACTTTGAGTTCCTCCCTGCCTGCTGCTCCAGAGGGACCTCACCCGGCACAGGTCTTCATGGACCCTGTGCCGTCTTTCCTGGCCATCCCTCACTCCCTGCTTTCTGAGGAACACTCTCTCCGGGTGCGCTGTGTCCTAAGATACACACTGGAAGTAGTTTGGGGTGTCCTCCTCAATACAAGGGAGCCTAGGCTTCTCCGGTCTTGGCACTCCTGGACAGTTTACCACTCATCCATAGCCACTTCATTGATCATTCATTCATTGAGTCACTCACTCATTTATTCATTTGTTCATTCAACCAACAAATATTTACAGAGCACTTACATTATGTCAGGTACCAGCAATCTAGTGAACAATATACTATCCCTGTCCTTAAGGAATTACCAGCTTGTCCTATAAACTGTCATCCTCAAACTTCTCCGAACTTCAAACGTTTAAATATCTATTTGAATATAGACACCTTCTCAAAATCTGGAACATATGCAAAAGCAAAGGTCCCTTATTAATGTTGTTATTAAAATATGAAAGTCGAGCATTTCATGCTGCTTATTCCTCTTCCTGGCAGAAAAGAAAAATCATATTTTGAAAATCAAACTATAATATAATATTTGAACATAAGAAGTTTATACCTACTTTTCAACTTTTTGGCGATCTTGGTTCAGTGTTTTTACTTTTAAAAATGCTACCATGTTAAGATTCCTCAAGGGAGGAACAACCTAAGACAGGCACAGTCGCAGGGGGGCCATCAGGTGAGAATTTGGGGATCAACAGAGGTGAGGCTCAGAACCTCACCCCCCCTGCTTTGAGAGAAATCTTCTGCATCCGTGGATGTCTTGCTGCCCTTGTCTAGCCTGGATTAATACTTAGTCCATAGGCACACACCTGATCATCTGATCATCTACATTTGCCTTCTTACAGCACTAAACTATGTTTTCTACCTTTATCTTGCATCTACCTACCACTTCAGCATTTTATTAAAAATAAAAATAATAATAATAATAGGAGAAATGTGGGATCAACATATAAATCAAGTACAAAAATCAAACGAATATTCATATTTGACCTGATTGTTTATAGGTCATATTGCATGATCAAAACCGAAAGTTTCTGTGATGAATGCCCTTGTACTGTTCACCATGTAAGAATTTATTCACTTGTAAGAATTCGTTCACCATGTAAGAACTTGTTCGTTATGCTTCAGAAGATTGGAGACTGACGAGAATTAGGCTTGAGATGGATTAATGATTGTACATTGAGCATTGACCCCCCTATACTGAATTTTATTGTTGTTAACAACCATTTGATCAATAAATATGAGAGGTGCCCTCTCAAAAAAAAAAATGCTACCATGTTAAATTCTCCTGGTGATTGTTAAAAATCTGGGGTTTTTTTGGAAGAAGGAAATGCAAATCATTATGAGAACATTTTTTAAACTAGCAAGGCAGTCATTATTATCACTACTTGAAAGAAGAGAAACTAAGGTTCAGAGAGATGAAATTAATTTCCTAAGTTTTTTCCATGAGCAAGTGACAGAGCAGGATTCACCCCTGTAACAATACCCAAGTACTATCTCCCCAAACAATGATGAAGTTTTTGCTCCTAAGGCCATTGGAGTCTGGTCCGTCTGATCTGCTCCAGTGAGGACTTCCCTCCTGAATGATCCCTTTTACCTCTTGCATTATCAGTTTCTTTCCATTAACATATACATATGTTATGATAGTTTCCCTTTTTAAAAAACAAACAAAACTCCCTTGTCCTAAAGTCCTCCTTCAGCTACTGCTTCATTTCTCCACTTCCCTTTAATTTACAGAAAAACATCTTGACCTGCTGTCTGCAATCACAGCCTCTGCTTCCTCACTTCCGACTCCCTGAATTCATTCACCTCTACCTGTCGTCTCCATTCCACTAAAATGGCTCGCTCAGGTGGCCAAATCCATTGCTCAGTCTTAGTCCTCATCTTACCTGATTGCTCAGCAGCATTGGACAACAGTGACCACTCTCTCCTTCCTGACACACTTAGCCCTGCCTTCTGATTTCTTCCCATGCGCCAGTGCTCCTTCTGAGTCTTCTTTGTGGGTTTCTCATATTCCCACCTCTAAACGCTGGGGGCCCCCAGAGCTCAGTCTTCAGTCCTCTTCTTTACTTTGTCTACACTCACTTTTGCATTTTTCAGTCTTCATAGACCCAGTGCCCCTTTCTATAATAAATACCGTGTTAATACCCTCTCTACTACCATGTTATGATGTATATCTCAGGGAATCTGCACAGGCATTTTAATTTAGCACTACAGCCTTTTCATTTTACAGAAGTAAAGTTAGGTGTAATTTGAAAAGAAATCATATAATTATGCCACTTCCTCCTATCTAAGAGCACTGTACTAAAAATAAATACTATCATAACACTTAGTTAGATAGCCCTCAAGAGGGCTCAAGGAAATTGATGTCCCAACATAAGTGGTGGAGCCGGGATTAATGTCTGCCTCTGGAGTCTGTATTGTCAACCATTATATTGTGACATAGAGCATGTGGTAAGTGCTCAAAATGTTTACCTACTATTATTATTAAAAGGTATTTCCACATTCCCCCTTTCCTATCTTGATAACTTGTCTTTGTAAATATGAAATATGAATGTAAATATGAATGTTGGCAATTTTGTCACAGTTTTCTTATTATGTACCCTTTTTCCCAGGACATGGTGACCCAGGCATCTCCATATATGTTTGAAGCTACAGAAAACAGATTCTATTTCAAAAATGTTGCTATTTTGATTCCTGAAAAATGGGAGACAAAACCTGAGTATCTGAGACCGAAACTCGAGACGTACAAAAATGTGAGAATATCAAGTTTGTATTTCAAATTTCTCCTTTGATTCACATTTTCTCATCAAAATATTCTAGAGTCAAATGAAATTGTTTCAAATTACTCTAGTGTATGAATAAGATCAATTCAGTTGCTAAAATTTTGTTATAATAAAAACTTAAAATTCCAGGCTGACGTTGTAGTTGCTGAACCTAACCCTCCAGGCAATGATGAACCCTACACAGAGCAGATGGGAAAATGCGGAGAAAAGGGCGAGAGGATCCATTTCACTCCAGACTTCCTAGCAGGAAAAAAGTTGACTGAATATGGACCACAAGGTAGGCATAGAGATGAAGTATTCTGCCTCCTGTCTCATAATTTAATAATTTTATGTTAAAAATAGATCAACAATAGTATTATCTTTCTGAGTAAGTACATATAAGCCCAATAAACTATTACAGCGTGTTTTCACTTAAAACCAGTGAATTTCTCAGAAATTTAATTTTTAATATTTTTCACAGATGTGTAAATACAGTATTTTTAATTCTTAGAAATTATTATCAAATATCAGATAATAATTGTAAGTTAGTTTAATACATAGTGTATGTTTTTGTGGATCTGTGGAGAGACACCTCAACAAAGTAAACCTCCTGCCTGTAATTCAGGTAGTAGCCAGCAGATGGCGGAGTCTCACCGTGCTCTCAGACATTTCTGTGCATTCAGATTCTCAAAGGATTTTTAGAGTCTGATTTCAGTAGTTAAGGGCAGGACTCAAGGGAATCTGCATTTTTAACATGCGGATACCGGCCAACTGTGGACCATACTTTGAGTACTAGGCAGAATATCTTTGTGGTTCAGCTCTCAAAACCTTGTGACTAAAGTAAAAAGTTCAGTTTTCATTCACAAACTGTTACTCCCACGTGAACTATGTAGAGCAATATTTGGAGAAAATATTAAAAGAAACAAGAATGGAGTATATACAATAGGTACTTTCCAAGTATACTCAAATATTAACTAATTAACTAATAACTACTACTAAGTTTCTTTAATATCTTGAAAAGATTAGAACCAGTTTGATGTTCTTCATTTAAATAGTCGAGGCAGAGAACACAAGCAGACAGAAGAGCTCTGGTGCCCCATGCCCCACCCCCCAATACACCAGAGCCTTCACAGACCTTACCAGAAAGAGGTGTCAAACACACACACCTCTTTGGTGTTCTTTTACAATACTCCATTTCACCTCCATAACAGGAGCAGAAAATGCCCAATGTGTGGCTCAATAAACACGTGTTGACTTGATTTACCTAACTGCCTCACCTCCCTCCTGAGCCCACTCCTGCCATCGCCATCACCATATATATGATGTCATTCCTTTAAAATCTCGTTCTATACTGTGACTCCATGCCTGCTCCCTCACAAGCTTCTCTTGCCTTTGAGAGGTCAGGTCATCAGTTGTTCCCCAGCACCTACAGCATACTGTAATTCCTAATGTGAGATACTCGGGCTTCCTTAGCACATACCCCCTCACTTAACCCTCTAAATTTAGCCTATCTAGGAATTTAGATTCCAGAAAAACTGAGCTGTATGTGAGTCACTAAGATCCATCGAAATTTAACAAATACTCCCTGAATGCCTAGTAAGTTCGAGACACTATGTACCAAGACATGACAATGAAGAAGTCATATGCCTGTCCTCCTGGAGACACATGTCTGGTGTGAGAGGCTGGCAAGTGAGCAGCAATGACAAATATAACCCGATAAGTGCCCTAATGGAAGGGAAGTGCAAAGGAAGGGTACGGATTCGTTTGGGGATGTCAGAGAAGGCTTCTAGTTGGAGATAAGCTTGACTTTGAAAGAAGAGTAGGAGTTACCCAGGGAGAGTTAGGGAGAGAGCATTCCAAGCAGAGGGAAAAATATGTAAAAGAGCATGGTGCGTCTCTAGAAAGAAAAAGGAGTTCAGGAATTCATTGTGATTATAGAGTTTTGAAAGTGGGTGGAGGACAGCAAGACATATGGCTGTGGAGAGAAATAGGCCTAGATCACCTGAAACCTTTTATGCCAGCTCAGAAGTTGGGCCTAACCCTGAGTGTCACAGGGGAGCTACTCAAGACTTGGGGACATAGCCAACTGGGTGGCTGTTGCAATAATTTAGGAGTAAGTGGCGTAAGACTGGAAAGATGAGAAAAGGTCAAAGCAGAAAGGCAGAGGCAGAATAGGCAGGCTCTGAGGTTTGACCAGACAGGCGCCATGAGGGAGAAGGACCTACCGGGGATGCTGCCGGCTGCCCTCTGAAGGCCTCCGGCTCCCACGGCAGCCTGCACGGACCTTCATCATTACACTTGCACTGCTAGACATTTTAGTGATTTGATCCTGCGTGCCACCTGCTAGACTGTGAGCTATGTGAGGACAGTACACTGATTTCATCTTTGTATGAATAACTAACTGCCCAGCACTTACTAGGTGCCTAATTAACATTGGATGAGTCAAAATAAGTAGCTCTATTTTACAGAAATGTGCAGTTGCCATATTAGATTTTTCTAAGGAAATCAAATCTTTAACTTAAAAAAATTAACATAACAAAGTATAATTAATTTCAGAAGAATTACTTTCTCCCAGAATGAGAAGGTATTTTGCCATTTTTTGTAATCAGGTGTTTAAAATACTTTCTCACAGGAAGGACATTTGTCCATGAATGGGCTCATCTACGATGGGGAGTATTTAATGAATACAATAATAACCAGAAATTCTACTTACTCAATGGAAAAAACAAACCAGTAATGTATGTATATTTTGATTTAACTCTTCACAAAATATTTTAAATTGCAAGCAATTTTTTCTTGAACTGATTTTAAAAATACCAGTCTGTTTTCTAATTTTCTGTCATTTTCTCTTAGTTCCTTCTTTTTCAGATTCTTACAAAACTATCATTTTTGTTCAGTTCATAAGTGCTTCAATTAGTTGGATTCTCTACTCTGCAGCTACAAATCATTTGCTTCTTTTTATGTGTGTGAACAACTGTAAGAAATCCACAGGTGCTATGCTCAGTGTCCCCATCTTCCTATACCAGAATCGATGACATAAACACAGCTAATGGGGATCTTCAGTACCTTGCAGTCAAGACTGGTATCTGTGGACTTTGTCAGGATGATGGGCTTGGGAGGGATTAAGGAATTTACCTGAAGGACAGCCCAAATATCAAAACAAAACAGAAAATTTCTCCAGTTTGAATTAAGCCTAGAGTGGTGTCAGTAGAAAGCAAACTGATCACTGCGGCAGCATTCTTGGCTGCCACGATTTGATGAATGCGTTCTTTCACCCAACAGTTTCAGTGCACTTAAACTGCTTTAGTACAAACATAAAAGGAAACTTCCTCATTTACTTTGAAGAGCTAGCAAAATTCAGATACTAAAACCTGACAGATGGCATGAAAAAGAATTCTGTAGATACAGCTTTCTAAAAAAGATTTTAAATAAAAGGATAATAAATTACATCTAGCAGAATTCAGGGAATCACAAAGGCCAAGTAGGATGTTTCCCAGAAATCCAGGATTGTTGTGATATTAGGTAAATAATGTAGGCTACATAGTAAAGAAGAAAAATAAATGATTATTCCAATAGATTCTCGAAAGGAATTTGATAACCTTGCACATTTATGCCAAAGCTAAAAAAAATAAACACCTCTTTTCAAAGGCTGAAAATTGGTATCACACCCCTCTTCGACTTCTGCTTCTAATTCTGTTCACCTGGTGACTGGTTAAGGAGAAGCGCTCAGCTTGGCTGGGTCACTGTCAGCACTCGGCTGTTTCCAAGGGGAGTTGCACTGGGCTCCGAGTTCAGTCCTGGTTTCCCATTTGTCCCACAGGAGCACTACTGCTCTCTTTCCCCTCTCTAGTTTACATTCAGACTGTCAGCTTGAGCCACTTACACTGCATTTTCCCTCACTGTTATATCACCTCAGGCATAAATAGACAAACGTTATGTCAGAGGCTTAAATGGCACACCTTTTCTGGAAAGCAATGTGGTGACACATACCAAACCTCTAAAATTTTTCCCGTTTCTTGATCCAGAGATTTCATATTTAAAAATTCATTTTAAGGGAAGTGATAGAATGAGCTGTATCCACAGACTTCTTATTTTTCAAACATTTACTCTGGGAATCCAACATGTAGCAAACATGGAAATAAAGTCAAAATTTTATGTGAAATTTTATTTATTCACTGAAGTTTTATCTTTAGTACTGGCAAATTGGGGGAGCCAAATTAAATAAATTAGGCTATGTTCATATTACAGTATCAAAACATGAAGTTATTAAAATCATATTTTGAAGGATATTATGAATTATATATTAAAATTTTAAACTTACTAACATACTAAGTTTTTTAAAAGGAAAAAGCAATGCTATATATATATACATACATATATGTATGTATGTATATATATATATATATATGCAAGTTTATGCTGATACATAGAGAAGGAAATGCTTCAACATGTTGAAAATAGTTTATTTCCTATGGTGGGACATGGTTGGTTTTTTTCTTTATACTTTTTTGCTGTTTTCCAAATATTCTACAGTGTTTCTATATTGTTTATATACTACAAAAATAAGATGTGGGGGAAAGGCATCCATTAATGATAGCAGCAAAACTCATAAGCATATAATATAAGGAAAAAGCTAAAACACGAACATACAAGAACTATGTAAAAACTGTATGGCATAAACTAATTAGAGAATAAAAACCAACAGCAAGAAATGTCAGCAAGCCTGAGGGAAAAAGGGCTTTTGATTTTCCAGGAATGAGGGGAATAGATTAGGAAGAGGCTCAGGACTTTGGTCCTTATTAATTCCAACAGCAGCCATAAGTCAGACAGCCTTTTGGCTGCATGGCAACAAATTCCGATACCATTTTGAGAATCCCTCACATACTTCCTGCAAACAGAAATGACTGATGAGAATTTAATGATTTTGCTATTTAAGGGCATGTATTTGTTTCTTGAATTATGAGAGGATATCACAGGTAAGGAGGACATCTGTAGAACCTGACCACAGAGTCTGACCCTTTGAAATGATCACATCATCTACATACCTAATCTTGATATATTTTCAGGTGTTCAGCAGCTATTACTGGTAAAAATAGGGTACAGACGTGTCAGGGAGGCAGCTGTGTCACCAAATCATGCAAACTCAACACAGTAACGGGGCTGTATGAAGAAGGATGTGAGTTCCTACCTGATCTCTCTCAGATTGAGAAGGCTTCTATTATGTTTTTACAAAAGATAGATTCCGTAAGTAACTGTCCTTTTTTATTTTTTCCTTGACACTTATGAATTTAGTGAGGTTTCTTACCCCAGATGCTGTAAGGCAGGATCAAATTTCAGGAAATCATCAGTGAGAGCATATCAGCAGATCAGCAGATTCTCTTGGGAGTACAAAACCAGGGATAAAGTCATAACTTCCCTTAACCTTTCCTTAGGGCCATCTTAGTTCTCCATCATCTCCCTCTGACTAGTTTTAGTTTAAGTGCTTAGAATTTCTTCAAATATCTTTAAGGCAAACAAGCACAAAAATTCTTAATTAAACAAGAAATTTTCGCAGAGGGATCAAGCCCTTCTTTTTATTAGTCAGTAAGGGCATGATCAGTAGCCTTTAATTTAACTTTCAGATATCTCTTTTCAGCCTTCATATTTGCTTTTGCTTGTGAACTGAAATTTTCTGCTTTTTAAGAGTTGTGGTGTCCTTAGGAAGTTTGTACATAATTTTAATAGTTTAAAAATAGTTCTTAATGTATTTTTAGGGACTAAAATAAAATCACAAGTTTAGATCATAAAATAAACTTGACAAATTATCCTTATTATTGCTAAATATATACATCTGCAAATATGCGCAAAGATTAAATACATTAGCTAACTGACTTCAGTGGGGAGCCCCTTTTTGTTAAATATGGTTTCCTTTTGGAATAAAGGGTGAAGCAACTTGCAAGAGTCTTTCCATAACAATGTGGCATAAGTTTTAAAAATGTGAAGCACTATGGTTCAGCAGTCCCATCCTTTGGTCTGGATTTACAGTTCATTCCCAGACTTCAAGAATGGGTCCAGATTTTGTGTTTTCAGTTAACCACAGAGTTAACCTGATGTACAGCTAGATTTGAGAACTTCTGCCTAGGGTTTACTCAAAAGTTTTTCAGGTTCTTTATTAAAATGTAGCTACATGATAATATGGAAACACTACCAAAATGACCTGGAATACACAAATAAAAAGAAAAATAAGTGTTTTACAGCTGATGATCACTTGCTAAATTATTGGTACAAAAATTCTTAATTAAACAAGAAATTTTCGCAGAGGGATCAAGCCCTTCTTTTTATTAGTCAGTAAGGGCATGATCAGTAGCCTTTAATTTAACTTTCAGATATCTCTTTTCAGCCTTCATATTTGCTTTTGCTTGTGAACTGAAATTTTCTGCTTTTTAAGAGTTGTGGTGTCCTTAGGAAGTTTGTACATAATTTTAATAGTTTAAAAATAGTTCTTAATGTATTTTTAGGGACTAAAATAAAATCACAAGTTTAGATCATAAAATAAACTTGACAAATTATCCTTATTATTGCTAAATATATACATCTGCAAATATGCGCAAAGATTAAATACATTAGCTAACTGACTTCAGTGGGGAGCCCCTTTTTGTTAAATATGGTTTCCTTTTGGAATAAAGGGTGAAGCAACTTGCAAGAGTCTTTCCATAACAATGTGGCATAAGTTTTAAAAATGTGAAGCACTATGGTTCAGCAGTCCCATCCTTTGGTCTGGATTTACAGTTCATTCCCAGACTTCAAGAATGGGTCCAGATTTTGTGTTTTCAGTTAACCACAGAGTTAACCTGATGTACAGCTAGATTTGAGAACTTCTGCCTAGGGTTTACTCAAAAGTTTTTCAGGTTCTTTATTAAAATGTAGCTACATGATAATATGGAAACACTACCAAAATGACCTGGAATACACAAATAAAAAGAAAAATAAGTGTTTTACAGCTGATGATCACTTGCTAAATTATTGGAAACCCAGATATTTAGGATTTTTAATTGAATAATAATACTGTAAAATCACTGAGAGAAGGAATAAGGTTCTACTTACTTTATATACTGTGCCTCCTTTTAAAATCCCCAAATGCTAGGAATATAAACATTTAAGAACACTGCTGGTGTTGAAAGTGGGAATTGCAAGGTGTTGGTGGGTGGGAAGTAAAAGGATAGAGAGATAAGATGGTACCAGGAGAGAAATGTTGAGATGCAGGTGGCTTGAAGATAACGGCGACAGCTTGAAAAAAGGAGGAAGGAAGCCACTAGCAGATAAACAGATTGCTGAAGAGCACTTAGGGCCCAATGAGGTTGAAGACATGGTTTGGGATAGAAACTCTGGATGGTGACTGTGATTTTTCCCTAGCAGTGTGCTGCAGAGACTGTGGAACTGAGCCAAGGTTTGGGGTTAGCAGGGCAGACTGGGAAGGAGGGCAAGGGATTAAAATATTTTAAATGGAGATTTAAAATGTTTTAACTACAAGGGATATAATATTTTAAATGTGGATTTGTAGTACTTTAATCAAATTATTAAAGGTTTGAATAAGTCTTTATCATAGAGAGAATATCATTCTCTGTATCATTTTATTGACAATTTCAGGTGGTTCAATTCTGTACAGAAAAAAACCACAATAAAGAAGCCCCAAACCTCCAAAACCAAAAGTGCAATCTCCGAAGCACGTGGGAAGTGATTCAAGACTCCGAGGACTTTAAGAAAACCACTCCTATGACGACAAAGCCACCCAACCCCACCTTCTCGCTGCTGCAGATTGGACAAAGAATTGTGTGTTTAGTCCTTGATAAGTCTGGAAGCATGTCGGTACGTTCAGTGAGTCCCTGTCTTCTGGATGTTGGTCTCGCACTTGCATGAATTACAGTCTGGCCAAAACTTGGCCAGGAGGGGAATAACAAAACTTTAAGGGTCAGAATAGTTATAACACTAACATTGACACCAGAAACACCCACCTCAACTTTATTCAACAAAAATTTACCATCGTGTCTCACTTGCCAAATTAAATTAGCTTTCAGTTTATGAGTGAAGATCTGATAAATGATGTGGTCTTAATATTTTTTGTTTCACTGAAATATATAGGTCTATTGAACTGTTACTAAAGTACTAAACACATGATTGAAAGAAAGCATAATTCTGGCTTTGTCTTTTAGGGCCATTTATAGAAAGGCCCTGAAATTGTACCCAAAGAAGCTACTAAGTATAAATGAGAAATATTCTTCCCTAGAAGGATATACCTTGAGTAAGCTTGTCATTTACTCAACATTGAGGCTGCCACTTCCAAATTCCCTCTAAACTGTTTTTAGTCTGCCTATCTAAACCCAGCCTGACTGATTTTCTTCTGCTTTCCATCCAGATTGGTGATCGCCTTAAACGACTGAATCAAGCAGGCAAACTTTTCCTGCTGCAGACAGTTGAGCAAGGATCCTGGGTTGGGATGGTGACATTTGACAGTGTTGCCTACATACAAAGTGAACTCATTCAGATAAAGAGTGGCACTGAAAGGGAGGCGCTCATCAGAAGTTTACCCAGTGTGGCCACAGGAGGAACATCCATCTGCTCCGGGCTTCGATCAGCATTTACTGTGAGACAACTTCCCCTACCATAGCTTGCTGATGTTTGCAATTTACATCTAAGAAATTCCCCTCTCCAGTGTTTTCATACATGCCTAGCATCTAGATGAATCAACCAAGAGCAGAGCAGTAGTTCAAATGATGCAAAGACATAGGCCCCCAAAACCATTGTTAACTGATTCATTCACACTTCTGGGCTCTTCTGCACCTGTGCATTCATGCTTTCCTGCATTCATGCTTGCATTCAAAATATTCATGGTGTGCCTTCTACATGCCAGGCATCAGCCTAAGCATTAAAAATACCATGAAGGCTAAACAGACACACCACACCTGTCACAGAGCTTATAATCTTATTGGGGGAGACACATTAACCACACAGTCACCAAATAAGTGTGCATTGATAAACTGTAATGAGTGCAATGAAGGAAAGGTACACAAGGAGGTCAGAGAGTTATCCTCTATAAAGAAAAATGAGCTCTGAGTTATGTTTAAATGTTGAGGTAGTTTAACACTCCAAACTTTTGGGTATACAGGACCTCCTTTTGGACAAGTAGCAATTTATTTATTGAAGCAGGAGGCCTTAGGAACTGTACCCAAGTTGTATTCGGGGTCTATCCAAAGATACCATCTTACCATACAATCGTGTCATCTCTCTACTTAAATATTAAAGTCTCCCCATTTTCATAAAAATTAAATAAAAATTTCTCTATCTGGTATTTAAGTTCTTCCGTAATATACCTTAATCTACCTCTTCAGGCTTAAATAGCAGGGACTGTCTTCCAGGTATCCTATGTTTAAGCAAATTGGACTACCTGTCATTCAGAGCTTCCACACCTTTGCCAGGCCAGCTCGCCACTTAGAGTACTTCCCCTGTAACTCAAATCACACACACTCTTCAAAGATTCATCCACACATCACCTACTTCTTGACATCATATATGATTCTTTCAACCATATATAAGTTCTTTTCTGAAAACTATGACTATTTTTAAAAAATCTCTTATGACTTCCAGGCTTTTCTGCCTTTCCTAATCACATGCTTCACTCAAGCAAAACTTCTTTAGAGATAGGACTTGTCTTTTTACCTCCCAGGCTGCTGGCACAATATCTTTTATACCAGAGGCTCTCAATAAATAAAACTGAATTGTCAGTGCGGCTCTTCCAGATCCCAAAGAAGCAGCAGGAATATTTAATTTCCACTGTGAAGGTCAGTTGCCTAAAAGTGGTTTATATTGTGTACATAGTCAGCTGCAAGCCTCTCTCCAGTGTGTGTGCATCTGGGTTCTCTGGCCTCTGCTACCCACCCTAGCTTTAATTAAACTGCAAAAGAAGGATGGAAATTGATGATGACATTACTGATGTATCATACTAAACTCTGGCTGAGACTACTAACACCACGTGGCCTGGTGGTAAAGAGAATACTTCTGGTTCTACGTTTTCCACTCAGATGGCTGAGACAGGGTGAGGGGTACACTGGAATTTAGACACTCTTCCTGCCCAGTGGAGTCTGAGTGTAGGGCAGGAGGAACTTGTGTGTGACTTTAGGGTTATGAGGTAAAGGACCTTGGGTCCTACATTGTCCTCAAGTTCTCCACTGGTCCTGCTGTAGGACCCTGGTCAAGTCGGTCCTGGGCTCCTGGCAGTGGTGTCTGCTAAGGTGTGGCCACTAGACTTAGATTATTATCTTGGCTTGATCAGGGTCCAGTGGTTCTCCCCACTCACTCAGCCCCAGCTGGCTCTCACTATTGGGGCACAGCCCTGAGCACTCTCACGTCTTCCATCCAGCCCCCAGGCAGGCTGTACAACCTCAGCGTTTATGGCAAAATGACCTGTTCTTTGGCCTGTTAAGTCTCAAGTCAACTGCCTTCTGTCTCTGCTGTGAGGTGTGCAGAGATTCCTGCATGTCTCCATGACATTCAGCAGTGACAGGGGGTGGGACAAGGTAATCCAAATGAAGCCCCGTCTCTGGCCTCTCAGGCCCTGGCAGCTTGGTCACGTGGAGGCCACAGCCACAGCTGCTAGGCTCCTGGACTCTGGGCTCTGGGCTCCCTCAGTGTCATCAGTCACAGGTTTGCTATCTTCCCTTGTGTGCAGCCCCCTCTGAGTTTCTCAGAGTTGGGTGGAAGTCTCCTCTGCTCTCAGCTTTCCTGTCAACCTACTTAAGATGACTTCCCTTCTGAGAGTCTGGTCCGGAGCGGGAGGGTACTTAGGCTTGATTGCTTATTTCCCCTACTTCTGGGTCTTCCCTTCCACTCTTTTTAGGGGAAGAAAGAATAATGCTATTCTTTAATTTCCCTTCTATCATAATCGTTTCCAACACTGGCAGAAGGAGTGCCTTCTCTATACCATGTAGAAAACTATAATCTGTTCCCAGTGGGAATAGTTGAGAAATAGGTGTTGTAGGACAGCTAAGAACTGGGGCTTAATAGGTATAAAATGTTTTGTTTTAATCACAGGGGATATAAAAATTTTAATAACTCATGTGACATGGGTTCTGACCAGTCAGAAACAATGTCAGTCATTTGGCTGGTGAATATCATACAAACTAAAATCTGCTGTGGGTCTAATACCCCCAAATATTATCCCCATTAAATGAGGACAGTTTCTGAAGGTCTCTGGGAACCTCTGAAAGCCTGTCAAGAAGAGATCATGAGAAGGAAACTAGAAAAACCTTCTTTGCTGTTCCCTAGTGCATTCCTTCCCTGGACCTGCTCTGCACCCCACTTTGTAGAGCCCCTTATGGAGCAGGCTAACCAAGAGAAAAGACCACTCTCAAGTTACATGTATGCTGCTAATTTAAAATTGTATCATTTCAAGACAGAGAGATATTTGACCAATCCCAGATGCTTCTGTATATTCCTTCTGAAACTTCTTTTCTCATTCCCTTTAAATGCAGTTTTCCCAAATACACTGGGCACTCTGAGTCTGATAACTAATGTCCTGAATTATGTCCTTAGGTGATTCGGAAGAAATACCCAACAGATGGATCTGAAATCGTGCTACTGACGGATGGGGAGGACAACACTATAAGCTCATGCTTTAATGAGGTGAAACAAAGTGGAGCCATCATCCACACAGTCGCCCTGGGACCCTCTGCAGCGGGAGAACTAGAGCAGCTGTCTCAAATGACAGGTGACAGATGATCTGCCAAGTCCCACTACATTGTCTCATCCACTGGACTGTGAGCTCCAGTGAACTGGGGAGTAGGGGAAGGGCAGGATAGGGAGAGATGGGGACAATCTTATTGGCCACTAGCTGCCCTTAATCCCAAATGGCCATTAAAACTAACTCCATTCATTTATTTTAAGACCTTGATTCTAGGATTAGAGCAATCTGGAGAAGATGCGGCCAGCTCAGCATTCTAGTGAGTACTTGGGACTCTAGTACCAAGACACTTTTTAAGGACTGGAAAGAATCTAATAAGTTAGTGGAAGTACTCGCCTCCAGTTGACAGCTGGCCAAGAGAGTCAGGGGAGACAGGTGATAAGCCACTAACTACAGAAGACCATGATACATGGAGGTTTATTAGCAATAGAAAATACAATGAGGCACAAAGAATGGAGCCTTTGACTTTATGTGCAGGAGGAGAAGGGTCTGGGAAAATGACATCTGAGTTGCAACTTTAACAAGGAATAACAGGGAACGGCAAAGGGCACCTACTGGACCATGCAGAAATCACTCAGAAAATGTACACTACAATGCAGTTTCTCTGTAAAACATTGATATACTATGCTTCTGACTCCCACACTCAGACAGATGGTTAAAGTAGATCGTGTAAGTCCCTGGCTTCTTTAGCTGAGTAGGTAGGCACAATTTCACTTAACTTAGGACCAGCATTGTGGATATTAGTTATTATGCTAAGTTGCCTTCCGAAGCAGCTAAAATGGCAGGACTGTTTGCTCCTAAAACTCCCTGTCTTAATCTGGGTTTCCTAGAAGCAAGCCTGACACAGAGATTTGGGTGCATGTGATTTGCAGAGGGAGCGCTCTCAGGAGAAAGGGAAAGTAGGAAGTACGGTAGGGCCGGGGAAGCACCTAGGCACAGATGTGGATTTAGAATCTAGCTAAGCCTCACCCCACAGCAGGCTCTGCATTTAGAACCGCATCACAGGCTTGGTCCCATCTTGAGGCAGCAGGGCTGACCTTTTGTGTCTGTCGGTCAGTGGCTGTGGACTGTCAGGGCAGGGCAGAAGGGAGGCACATGTTCTTTGTCTAACGTGGTGGCCCCTTTTGGTAAGGCGATTCTCTGGAGGAGGAGGCAGCTATAAGCTGTTAGGAGTGAACACTTAGAGCAGCTGCGGAGAGAGAGGGGCCTAGTAAGGGTATCCAACTGAGGCACCAACAGCGCTCCCAAAATACTTCCCTTAGACTTTGGATGGCATTAATAGTTTAAAAGTGCTTTCACATCAACTATCTTAGTTACACCTATTCTAAATAGACCGAGACTGCCAGGCCTGGTGTATAACCTCATTTTTACTACATATTGTATTTTTCTATCACTAGCCCTTGTCAGCTCTTATTTCTTGGCTGTTGTAACATATACATCTTTTCTGATTTAGGAGAAAACTCAAAAGTCAAACTTGCTAGGATTATGTCTAAAATAAGAAGAAAGCAATAGACTTAGAGTAAGGCTTAAAGGGTTCTCTCTTATGAAAGTGAATGACCTCTAAAATATGAAATTAGTTTTGGCCTATCAGAGATTCACGGCTGCTTTGCAGACAGTTGACGTAGCCAAATGACTAAGATGTTGCTGAAGCTATTATTTAGTAGAATTAAAAAATTAATATTGACTTCTGAGTTAATCTGGACACCTATTTGATGTTAATCAATTAATACTTTAATAACACAATAGCACATTTACTTTATGTATTCTGCTATCTTATTAATAGCTAAAATGTTGCAAATACTTGCTTTCTAGAGAATAACTTCTGATAACATAATTGCATTTTAGGAGGTTTGAAGACATATGCTTCAGATCAGGCTCAGAACAATGGCCTCATTGATGCTTTTGGGGCCCTTTCGTCAGGAAATGGAGTTGCCTCCCAGCGCTCTGTCCAGGTCAGAGTTCTCACTCTTTGGTTTTTCATGTATATAAATAAATACAGCCAATGGAGAGTTTAATGACCAAGAGTTTTAAATCTACATTCTTCTAGTAGTGAATTAAAAGTAAAATACAGAACTTTCAGCCTATTAGACATTATTCCTAAAACACAACACAACTCATTTAAACAAGGCAGTTAGTGAATTAGTGTTTACTTGTTTGGAAACAATACTGTGACTGCCTCATAGAAATTAGCAACGTAAACTGTAACGGGTCCAAGATTTATTTTTTAACATCTCTTAAGTGGCACCAATAGCAATATATTTGGCTCAGAATTTTCTTAAAAGTAGATCATCTCAATACAAATTTTCTGGGACAAGTGTTGAGGGATTACTTGCTCTATTTTTCCATTACCTCAAATCCTTAATATTTGCCAAGATTTTTATACAGTGGATAGGAAGTGCTTTGTATGACAAAAAGCCCATGGTGTCAGTCCAGACACCTGGATCCTCATCCTGGGTCTGTAGCAATGGGCAAAGAAGTTCACTTCTCTGGGCCTTCATTTCTCAGCCAGATATAAACCAAAAAACTTTCATGGGCCTTTCTGGTTCTAAAATTTCAAGAAAACCAAATTTTCTTTCAAAAGTCTTAGGACTATTTAAAAAAAAAAGACAAATGTATCTTAAATGCTTTTGTCTAATAGTTGCAAAAGTTACTCACTTGGATTTTTTAAAGTGAAGAACGAATGATGAGTACTCATACCTGTGTGAATTATGATTTTTATTGTGAATGTTTGGATAAAGGTATAGAAATAATATAACGTCAAAGCCAAATAATGACAAAATTTCAAAACAATAGGCTTTTTGGTCTACCAATGTAGTATTTATTCAATCAAGGAAGACAGCAATTGTACTCATTTGAGTATCCTAGTTCAGATTTAGAAAATTAAACTCAAGAACATGTTTAGGAAATGAGAGGAATATGTCTTAGAAAAGTTATTAAACTGATGAAAGGACAAGTTCACAGTTAAGCAGTTTGTGCCCATTACTTTTGAGTTAAAGGGACCTAACAAAGAGAGAGAAATAAGCAGGACTCATTGCCCACCTGCCACAATAAATCAGATTTAAAAGCCCTTCACTTTCTCTACATCTAACATTGTAATCTACCTATGAACTAGAAAGTCCAGTTCCATGACTAGGCCACCCTATCATCTGATAGATATCAATTTAAGGACAGTAAATATGTAGGAGATAATCCTCAAAATCACATTTTCACAGAAGTCTTGTTAACCCTTCCCTACTTCAACCCCTTCTCTGTGGCTCATTCATTTTACTCCAAAAAACAAATCAGCCTAGGCCCTTGACTCATTTCATTTATCTTTACAGGGACTGCAATAATACTTGATCTAGCAATTAGCTATTGGCAATTCAAATAATCCATACATGGGTGAAAATAAGACTTTATAGTCTAGCAAATGAGATGAGTTGTGTATACCAGTTAGTATAAAGCAAAACACAATTTGAGAATATCAAAGGGCTGACAGAAACTAAGATTCTACAGTAGGAGGGAGAGATTATTTGCAGTTGGTGAGATGGACATCAGAGAAAGCATCATGGAAAAAGTAACATTTGAACTGAATCTTGGAGTCTAGGTAAGGCTTAGACAAGTGGAATAAACATACAGATTTCAGAGAATATGATAAAGTCTTAGAGTCAGGGATTCATGAGGATCCTTTAGGGAAGTGGTCTGGTTTGAGTGTAGGAATAAACATTGTTGAAGCTAAGGCTAGAAAGGCAAGCTGGATCATAATTTTAAGTCCTAAATATCAAACCAAGGACTCAGGCATCACTGAAGGCTCTTTAATTGGACAAGCAGGAGTTGGGGGGCAGAATAGAAGGAACTATGTGATAGGAGCTGTATTCCCTGGAAAGTAAAGAGTTGTTTTTTTAACAGCTTGAGAGTAAGGGATCAATCCTTCAGAACAATCAGTGGATGAACGGGACAGTGACTGTGGACAGCACTGTGGGAAATGACACTTTGTTCCTCATCACCTGGACAACACAGCCTCCCCAGATCCTTCTCTGGGACCCCAGTGGAAAGAGACAAAGTGGCTTTGTAGTGGACACAAACACCAAAATGGCCTACCTCCAAATTCCAGGCACTGCCCAGGTAACGAGTCAGCTTTTTCCTTCTCACAATAAAATAACATTTTGATAGAATAACTATAGCTTTTTTAAAATTAAAGTACAGTTGATACACATTCTTATACTGTTCTCAAGTATTCAACACAGTGGTTCAACAGTTACCCACCTCACCCCCACTAGTGCAGTTACTATCTGTCAACATAGGAAGGTGTTACAGTATCATTGGCTATATTCTCCATGCTGTACTACCATCCCTGTGACCAACTTATATTATGATTGAGAATTTTTGTGTTATCTCCCTCACCTCTCTACCACCCATCCCAACCCTTCCTACATGTTAACCACCAGTCACTTCTCAGTGATAGTTTATTCATTTTGTTTTGTTTTGTTCTTAGATTCCACAAATAAGTGAAATCATATGGCATTTGTCTTTCTCAATCTGCCTTATTTCACTTAGCATAATACCCTCTAGGTTTCTCTGTGTTGTCACAAATGGCAAGATTTCTTTTTTATAGCTGAAAAATATTCCACTGTGTGTATGTACCGCCTCTTCTTTTAATTAAGGTATCACTGATATACAATCTTATGAAGACTTCACATGAGCAACAATTCTGGTTTCAACATTCACCCATATTATCAAGTCCCCTGCAACTCCATTGTTATCACTGTCCATCAGCATAGTAAGATGCTATAGAGTCATTACTTGTCTTCTCCATGCTAAACTGCCTTCCCCACGACCTACCTGTATTGTGTATGTTAACGATAATGCCCTTAATTCCCTTCTCCTTCCCTCTCCACCCACCCTCCCCAATTCCTTCCCTTTGGTAACCACAAGTCCTTTTTGTGGAGTCTATGAGTCTGCTGCTGTTTGTTCCTTCAGTTTTGCTTTGTTGATAATTGACAAATGAGTGAAATCATTTGATACTTGTCTTTCTCTGCCTGGCTTATTTTACTGAGCATAACACCCTGTAGCTCCATCCATGTTGTTGCAGATGGTAGGATTTGTTTTCTTTTTATGGCTGAATAATACTCCATTGTGTATATGTACCACTTCTTCATTATCTATTCATCTACTGATGGATACTGAGGCCCTTATCTTGGCTTTTGTAAATAGTGCTGCAATAAACATAGGGATACATATGTCTTTTTGTATCTGGAATCTTGTTTTCTTTGGGTAAATTCCTAGCAGTGGAATTACTGGGTCAAATGGTATTTCGATTTTTAGTTTTTTGAGGAAGCTCCATATTGCTTGCCACAATGGTTGAACTAATTTATATTCCCACCACCTGTAGGAGGGTTCCTCTTTCTCTGAATCCTCACCAGCATTGTTGTTTCTTGTCTTTGATATTCGCCATCCTAACTGGTGTGAGGTAATATCTCATTGTGGTTTTAATCTGCATTTCCCTGATAATTAGGGATGTGGAGCATTTTTTCATGTGCCTTTGGCCATCTGTTCAGACCCTCTGCATAGTTTTAATTGGGTTATTTGTTCTTTGAGTGTTAAGGCATGTGAGTTCTTTATATATTTTGGATGTTAACCCCTTATTGGATAAGTCATTTACAAATATATTCTCCCATACTGTAGGATGCCTTTTTGTTCTGCTGATATACAGAAACTTTTTAGTTTGATGTAGTCCCATGAGTTCATTTTTGCTTTGTTTCCCTTGCCTGAGGAAATGTGTTCAGGAAAAAGTTGCTCATGTTAATATTCAAGGGATGTTCACCTATGTTTTCTCCTATGAGTTTTAGGGTTTCATGACTTACATTCAGGTCTTTTGATCCATTTTGAGTTTACTTTTGTGTATGCATTTAGACAATAATCCAGTTTCATTCTCTTAAATGTAGCTGTGCAGTTTTGCCAACACCAGCTGTTGAAGAGGCTGTCTTTTCCCCAATGAATATCCATGGTTCCTTTATCATGTATTAATTGGCCATATATGTGTAGGTTTATGCCTGGGCTCTCTATTCTGTTCCATTGACCTATGGGTCTGTTCTTGTGCCAGTACCAAATTATTTCGATTACTGTGGCTTTTTAGTAGAGCTTAAAGTTATGGAGCATAATCCCCCAGCTTTGTTCTTCCTTCTCATGATTGCTTTGACTACTCGGGGTCTTTTGTGGCTCCATATGAATTTTAGAACTATTTGTTCTAATTCGTTGAAGAATGCTGTTGGCATTTTGATAGGGATTGCATTGAATCTGTAGATTGCTTTAGGCAAGATGGCCATTTTACAATATTCTTCCTAGCCATGAGCACAGATGTATTTCAATTTAATGGTGTCTTCTTTAATGTCTCTCATGAGTATCTTGTAGTTTTCAGGGTATAGGTTTTTCACCTCGTTGGTTAGGTTTATTCCTAAGTATCTTATTCTTTTTGATGCAGTTGTAAATGAAGTTGTTTTCCTGATTTCTCTTTCTGCTAGTTCATCATTAGTATATAGGAATGCCACAGATTTCTGTGTATTAATTTTGTATCCTGCAACTTTGCTGAATTCAGTTATTAGTTCTAGTAGTTTTGGGGTAGATTCTTTAGGGTTTTTATATACAATACCATGTCATTTGCCAACAGTGACAGTTTAACTTCTTCCTGACCAATCTGGAACCTTTTTATTTCTTTGTGCTGTCTAATTGATGTGGTTAGGACCTCCAATACTATTGAAAAAAAGCGGCCTTGTTCTGTTTCCAATCTTAGAGGAAAAGCTTTCAGCTTTTGCTGTTAAGCATGATGTTGGCCGTGCGTTTATCATATATGGCCTTTATTATATTGAGGAACTTGCTCTCTATACCCATTTGTTGAGTATTTGTAAAATACCAATTTTATCATGAATGAATCTTGAATTTTGTCAAATGCTTCTCCAACATCTATTGAGATGATCATCTGATTTTTGTGCTTTTTCTTGTTGATGTGTGTACCACCTCTTCCTTATCTATTCATTTTGATGGACACATTGGTTGCTTCCATATCTTGGCTCTTATAAATAATGCAGCAATAAACACTAGGGGTGTATATATCTTTTCATATCAGGAATTTTGTATTCTTCGGGTAAATTGCTAGAAGTGGAATTACTGGGTTGTATGGTATTTCTATTTTTAGTTTTTTGAGGAACCACCATACCACTTTCCACAATGGTTGCATCAAGTTACATTCCCACCAACAGTGTAGGAAGGTTCCCTTTTCTCTACATCCTCACTAACACTTGTTATTTCTTGTTTTTTGGATAGTGGCCATTCTGACTGGTATGAAGTGAACATCTCATTGTGGTTTTGATTTACATTTCCATGATGATTAATGAAATGGAGCATCTTTTCATGTGCCTGTTGGCCATCTGTATTTCTTCTTAGGAAAGTGTCTGTTCAGGTCCTCTACCCATTTTTTAATCGGGATATTTGTGTTTTTTTGGTGTTGGGTCATATGAGTTCTTTATATATTTTGGATGTTGACCTCTTATCAGATAAATCACTCACAAATATATTCTCCCATACTGAAGGTTGTCTTTTTGTTCAGTTGACCATAGCTTTTTTAATTGAGTGGTTGGTAAAAGGAGAGTCAGTATTAAATAGAAGAACAAGGAAAGTTCTCCATCCAACTGAAATCACTCAGGATGACAGAAAGACAAGAGAAATGAAATTGGTGATATTTCTCCCAGGTACTAAAGGGAGAACCTTCAAATTACCTTAGTCAAGACGCAAAGTGTTTCTTGAAGCTTTGGGATCATGGAAACCATTTCCTCTAACTCAGGAACCCATCAATTGAACCCTGTTCTTAGAAAAGCAAGGCAATGATAAGGACATAAGCTTTTTGGCTTTATTTTCCCCACCTAGGATTTTTTTCACAACAAAAACCAAGTAGTAGTCCAAACATACCAAAGGTTCCTTGGCTTACTGAATATCAAAGACCTCCTCAGATATGCTTGTAATATGTTTGCATCAGACAGGCTCTACCTGTTCATGGTACTAAAGTTAAGTCTGTGTATCACCTGCAGTTACTGACTGGAAATCTCTCCATTTGTTTGGTCAGGTTGGCAATTGGAAATACAGTCTGCAAGCAAGCTCACAAACTCTGACTCTAACTGTTACCTCTCGTGCATCAAGTGCTACTTTGCCTCCAATTACAGTGACCTCTACAATGAACAAAGACACAGGCAAATTCCCTAGCCCTATGGTAGTTTATGCAAAAATTCACCAAGGAGCCTCACCAATTCTCAGGGCCAGTGTCACAGCCGTGATAGAATCAGTGAATGGAAAAACAGTTACTTTGGAGTTACTGGACAATGGAGCAGGTAACCACTCAACAAATTGAAAACTGCACCTTTCTTTTCCAAGAAGCAAGCAGGGAACAGCAGGAGGCAACAGTCTGGTGAGGACAGTTAGAAGCAGGAAGTCCAGCACTGGGGGTCTGGCTGGGAGAGCTTTCTGCTTCCCAATTCCTGTATTTCAAAATATTGGAAAACATGAAGAATCCCTACCTTTAGCTTCTGCTCAGCCCAAACACATTAGTGGCTCAAGTTCAATATGCTCAGAGACACCAGGCAGTTGTCAGAGGGTATTCCACACTCTCTAAAAAGGGAAGAATGAAAATTAAATAAATTTAAATTAAATAGGAAAACCAATCGCTACTTGGTGTTAGGTTTTTGTGTGAAAATATATATATGTATATATATCTTCATTTTCATCTTCACCACACACTTTCAAGATATTATCCCTACACTACAGATGAAGACATTAGGCTTTCCCATTTGAAGCAGCAGAGACTGATTCGAGTGCAGTTATATGTTAATCCTGTATCTAATGGACTCTATATTATCTTGCCCCCAAAGTGAAAATCCTGCCCATTGTTTTTGTATTTAAGAGATCTAACAGGGGAGAGAGAGGAGAGCTCCTTCTGGGAGGAACTTCAAGGCTTACTGTGATGCAGTAACCTTATTAGAACAAATTCTGTAACTGAATTCCTGTAATCTGCCCTGTAAATCTGTAAATCTGCCCTGGTGAGAAGTTGTGAACTTTTGAAAAATTATCATATAACATTTCTTCATCCCCTGTAATATACAGCAATTCCGTTCAGTTCTGTACTGTTACTTTGTTCTGTGTTGGATGTAACAGAGACACATGATATGAATCTCTGACTTCCAAAATAAAAACAGTAATTTAGGAAGAGAAGATGTACACATATGAAACTGCACACAAACACACACAAGAGGTAAAGTTCTAAACTACTGGAGATAATGCTGGATTATCTATGCTTTGAAAATTTTTAACCCACATATGAGTTGGAAATATACAAATGTCCAGTTACATTTAGGATATTCATTAATTCCTTCATTTCCCCGACAAGGTGCTGATGCTACTAAGGATGACGGTGTCTATTCAAGGTATTTTACGGCTTATGATACAAATGGTAGATACAGTACAAAAGTGTGGGCTCTGGGAGGAAAGAATGCAGCCAGCCAAAGGGCAATGCGCCAGCAGAATGGAGCCATGTACATTCCTGGCTGGATTGAGAATGGTAAGTAATCTGGAATAGCACACCTGGCTTAAGTGAAAGGGCTTGGGATCAGGGAAAACTATTAAGTCTGTGTGGATAATGGTGCAGGATTAAATCAGGGTTTCCCAAAGGTAGCATTATTGATATTTTAGGCCATATCATTCTTTGCTGTGGAGGGCTGCCGTGTGCATTGTAGGAGTCTAGTATCATTCCTGGCCTCTACTCACCAGCTATCAGAAGCAGAACTCACAGTCATGACAATCAACAATGTCTCCAGACATCATTCTCTGGCCTCTGAGGGCAAACTAGCCCCAGTTAAAAACCACAGATTGGAAGTCGTTTTTTGACTGCCTCAGTTCAAATGCCAGCCCTCTTCCAGATACAGTATTTTGGGTAATCTCTTTGCGCTTCACTTTCCTCAGTTGGAAAGTAGGTATAATATTACCCCATAGGATGGTTATGAGGAATAAACAAGGAAATGCACCTAATAAACTGTTGCTGGTAAATAATAAATGCCCAATAAGTGCTTATTCTTTTTGATAAATTTTAAAACATTCTGTAATGTAACTCCATGATATTGGTACTTCCATAAAATAACAACACACAAATTCGGGCTTGTTATCTATGTCAGCGTCACCATAAGCCCACTGCCTCCTTTCCTCATTTGTCCTCTGGCTCAGACCAGGGAGAACAGTAGATGTCCACAATCCTGGCCAGCACACCGAGCCCACATGTCAGCGGGTGGGAAGATTTTGCTCCAAGAACCACAGCCCCACTATACTCTTGGTCATGAACACTTGTCCTGGCCTAGAGGTGGAACTGGGACCACGATCATCCCTGATGGACCGTTCGGCCGTCAATCTCTCCTCTGTCCTGGGCAGGCCTTTTCCTAGTGCTGATGTGTAACAAGAGCAGCTCCTCCATGAAGCTTCCCACTGTCTTCTTTCTGGAGTTTATGCTCAGTAAAGGGAAAATTCTGTGACATGTGATATCTCCTCATGCAAAGGTGATCATAGAAAAAAAATGGTTTAAAGGACACTATTGCTTCCCAAGCTCTTTCATGTATTTCAGCTTATTTTATTCTCATTTGCCCTTCTTTTTGAGTTAGGGGAGGAAGGCAAGGAGGGGATTGGTTTAGGGGCTGTATCTAACCTTATGCTCAGTGTTTTACCTACGTAAGTACATTGCTTTCTCCTAACCATCTCATTTTTAGAGGCTAGAGGGGTTATTAGACCACATAACTAATAGTGATAGCACCTGGCTCGGCATGGGGAAGCCATGTTCTTTCCTCCATCCTTTGATTCAGTATTAGTGAACTGAATACTAAAAATGTCCTGCTGAAGTACCCACTTCATCTTTGCCCAAGACCAGATTAATGAGTATAAAAATCAATCTGTCTTTATAAATGAAATTTTTAAGGGTTAAAGCAGTAAAGCTTCTGAGAAAATAAATTTTGTATAGTGCCCATGTTAGGGTATTATGGAATAGTTTTACTAAAGAGACCATCAGAGAACCCTACTGACTGAGCAGGCCAGGGTGTTCTTTGAATTCCAGGACTACTTTTATACAACCTTTCAACAAGAATGTGAAGGAAATTGGGATTGCTACAAAAACTAGATTCCTATGTATTCATTGACAAAATCAGAAGTCCTTCAAAAGCATATAATTTGAGAACCGCTAATACAAAACTTTTCATGAGAATCTACAATCTAATAAGAAAGATAAAATACAAACATGTTGGAAGAGAAAAAAAAAACACACAGAACAAATGATCAAGGCAATTTTTAAAGGCCCAGATGATTAATTACCAAATAAATAGGAAAGATAATGAAATCAACCATATCATTTAGTTTAAAGAGACTTCTTGAGGCAGTGTGTAAAGGTTTAAAACAGAGGTAGTATTTAAATTGATTTCAAAAAGCAAAAAAATAGGAAAAGAAATAATTCCATGACAAGTGTTATAAAAATAAATTACCAGTCATTCTACTATACATCCAGGAAATATGTGTGAGATAAATAACTGTGATTCTCTCTTTGCTTTATTTCTGTCTGATGCCAACCAATTTGGGATCTTTACAACAAACAGTTAAAATGAATTTTGTATGTGGGAAGAAGGAAGGAAAGGGGAGGGTAAACTGATAATAAAACAGTAGGAGGGTATAGTCTTATAGTGGTGTTGCTTACCAGGTATTATAATGTAATGCAGGTGAAGTAAAATGGAATCCACCAAGACCTCAAATCAATAAGGACGATCATCAAGGAAAGCAAGTGTGCTTCAGCAGAACATCCTCAGGAGGCTCATTTGTGGCTTCCAACGTCCCAAAGGCTCCCATACCTGATCTCTTCCCACCGTGTCAAATCACCGACCTGAAGGCAAAAATCCAAGGTGACAAGCTCATTAATCTGACTTGGACGGCTCCTGGGGATGATTATGATTATGGAAGAGGTAAGATGAATGTGGTATGGACCCTAAACTCCAAAGAGGAGTTTAGCAGCCAAGCAGGAGTGCAGGAGGAGGAGAGGAAGGCAGGTGTGCTGTGATGCATATGGAGGGCAGAAGACAGCAGGACTCTTGAATGTCCTCTGAAATGAAAGGTTAAGATTTTTAAATATGAAAGGATTTGAATATGAAAAACCTGCCTACTTTAGTTGTAAGAAGTTTCAACCAGGAACAGACAATCCACAGTGTTTTCCTGAAATCTTGCCAAACTGTCTCTCAAGAACTCCCACTTTTAGTCATGAGTCATGGAAAGGATTGGGAACAGGGCATAGATATCTATACAGGAGAGCTGTCCTTTGGCAGAAATCTTAGGTCCTACCAGACTTGCCTTTCAAAGTGTAGTCTTGGGACTGCAGTATGGCCATCACAGAAACCAGAAAACATCATTTTTGAAAAAGGCATGGATCTCTTCATGCAGTTCAAGCTATTGATAAATTCACCTTCTTAGAAATGAAGAACTTCAGGCCCCACTCCAGACTTACTGAACCAGAGTGCATTTTATGATTCTTGGGTGATGTGTATGCACATTAAAGTTTGAGAAGCCTGGTACCAAAAACTCCTGTATAAATAACAAAATATAAATAAGCACTAATTAAGCAACCTCCTCTCTCAGCCATGCACTATGCCCAGAAATACGGAGCATGAGCTTTAGCTCATGCCTGATCCAGCTTTGCATTTATCACTCTGTCAAGATACACAAACAAGAATGTAAAAAGTATACTAACACTTGTAAAAATGGACTATCAATTATATTTATTCATTGGAACTTTATGGGATGGTGATATAGTTTCTAACAGACTTTCAAAACTTCTTTAAGACTTGAGAACTACAGTTAATGTCTTCATATCCTTTTTTTTCTTTAGCTCACCAGTATATCATTGGAATAAGTACAAATATTCTTGAACTCAGAGACAACTTCAATGATTCACTTCAAGTGAACACTACTGATCTCATCCCAAAGGAAGCCAACTCTGAGGAAGTCTTTGTGTTTAAACCAGAAAATATCACTTTTGAAAATGGCACAGATCTCTTCATTGCTATTCAAGCTATTGATAAGGTCAACTTGAAGTCAGAAATCTCCAACATTGCACGAGTATCTTTGTTTATTCCCCCACCAACTCCTTCAGAGACACCTAGTCCTTCTTTGCCTTGTCCTGATATTAACATCAACAGCACCATTCCTGGTATTCACATTTTAAAAATTATGTGGAAGTGGCTAGGAGAACTGCAGCTGTCAGTAGCCTTGGGCTAAGTTTTTGTGAGATAAGTAATTAATCCATCCTTTTCACTATAAAAATGTCTACAATGTATTTTAGACTTCCTGTAGAGGGCGCTATAATGAAATAAAATGCTAAACAACTGGATACACATGTATAAAACTAGTCAAATCCAGAAGTTTAATCACTGTTGAGTCATTTATTAAAGATTTTGAATACTAGAAAGAAGAGGTGCTTGCTTCAATAAATGGAACTAAGTTTTAATTCATTTTAAGAGCTTTGCCAATTAGAAAGAACATGTAGTTGCATGTGAAAGATGCCAGAAATACCCAAGTAGGTCAAACTATTTAAATATAAAAGACATGGTTTCTTACAGAGGAGATTTAGACCAACATCACTAGGATATGCATTCCTTTCTCTAGATTTGGGCAAGGATGATGGATAAGGATAAAGATATAACAGCATGATGAAGGCTACAACAGGCAAAGAACTGTATGTTATATGCATGAAATTAGAAGAACCAGTGATTTTTGCTTAAACCCACAGTGGTGGAAAATGAGGTGGAAGAGGTAGATTCAGTCCAGGTTTTTAAGAAAGTGACTGAAGAATAAATATTCTTGTGTACTTTGTGACAAATGCTCTACAAATGCCTTATGTGAATTATCTTACATAATACAATTCAGTTCATTCAACAAACGTTTATCAGCTGCTTAGTATATCCCAGGCCTATGCTAGGTCCTGAATACAAAAAGATGAGTATGATTCGGCCTTTTTCTTGTAGTCAATTTGAGGAATTTTTAAAAATAGGAGATCAATATAATCAGAGCTGTGCTTGGGAAAGGGAGCTTTTTGAGGACCACGTAAAGAACTGAATAAAGTTGGGAGAGGCTAGTGGCATGACAGATAAAAGAGGAAGCAGAAGAAAAGGTAAAAAGGAGCCAAATAGACTTGTCAGTATGCCAGTCCCCATTAACGACTAATCACAGATTCCAGGGCCTCCAAGGGAAGTATTCCTGGAAAAGGTGTTTCAAGTTCTGAGCTCATTAACATAATGAGTTCAAGATGTTGGCGGCTCTGACTGAAAACAAAATATCTAGGAGATTGTTTCTACATAAACTACAAATTTATTTCTTTGTAGATTTTCCTTACTTCAAAACAGAATTTACATTATAAAAGAATTAACAAAAAAATAAAGTGAATATATAATAAAAACAAGAGGAAGGTTCAGCGTATCCAATGCTTACTGTAATGTTTTATACAATTGCTACAGCTGGGACACAAATTTTATTTTGAGCAGGCAGAACAAAGGAGATATACAGGGACTAACAAAATTAAGAGTCTACTGTGAAAAACAAACCAGAAGCTTAGGAGAAGCATGGCTTTTTCTAGTTGAGACCCCTGTGAAGGTTCATCTCCAATCTTCAGTAATTTGGGTACTGAGATATTAAGTTGTGCAGCCTGAATACCGGTCATATAATAATCAAAGTTTAATATAGCACCGATCACAACATCCTTCACTGCCATCACACTTCATTGTGCTGTTGCAATGAAGTGACACCCAGCATTCTCAGAGAAGACAATTACACAAGGGCTCAAACAATACAAGTCTAGCAAGTAGCTCTTAAGTTGGCACCAAAGATAAATTTTGGAGTGACTGTATTCTAAGTTCTTTAGGCCATTTTCTATGACTAGTTTTTCTCACACACAAGTTTCTTATAATAATTGAATAGCAGAAAGTTCTGAGGCTAGGAAAACACTGCTGTGCTAAAATTCAGTATTATTTATTGAGTGCATGCCAATCAAATAGACAGAGGGTCCGACTGAAGTGTTCTGAAAATTACAAAACCAAACTAGGGCACATGCCTAACTGGAGGGCCACTCACCTGCCTCGTGTGGACAAATGAGTCCAAGGCCACAGCTCAGTGCCATAGAACATGGCTGCCATGGGGCTGACCTGGAGAATTTTGTCAGTTGTTGAGATTTGAATTTCCCATTTGGTTGAACTCTGTGGAATGCACCATGGGATATAGTGAGAACTGCATAGGTATGTGTGATGTTACTTCAAAGAAAAGAGGTAAATGTCAACATGTAGATAAGACAGTACAGAACAACAAAGGAAAACATTCTTAGGTACTCCAGATTTAGAGCGGCTTCTTGCAGAATGGATCTGGACTATCATATATGAAAAAATAAGCCAAAATTTTGCTTTATGACATCATTACCCTACAATGACCTTAATTTTCTTTAGTTTCTGATAGGTCAATTAAGTGATTGATTAGGTAGATCTGATAAACATACCCTAGATTTTGATAATTTAGGACTTTCAACTAAAGGTCTGACTTACCTAGGCTTTCTCGTCTAGAACCACAGCTTTACCCCACTTCTCTGTGGATGTTTTTTCTGCCTCCTTCATCTAACCAAGCCTGAACTTTTATTGGAAGGCTCCCTTTCTTCTAGAAGTGGCAACTCCTTCTTCTAATACCCAAGTACCAGAGGTGGGTGGGGAGAAGTATTCTCCAAGCATCCTTTGCAACTTCCAAAGGCCATTGCTAGTATGGTCTCATTTTTTTTGTTTTTTTTGTAAAAGACTTTATCCTATGTTATTGATCCATGCCATCCTTCACCCCTTCTCTTCACTGTCATCTCATCCAAGACAGTTTTCTGGGTCACAACACTTCTCCCCCATTACCTCCTAAAATCACTGTGCCTTGTATCAGAATCTATATGAATAAGTCAATCAATATCTTAGCCTCAAAATTCTTTGACCTTTACCCCATCTCCACTAAGCTTTAGCAAACTAGTGGATTAACTCATGCAAGTGCCTTTATATAAATAAAAAATGAGAGAATGTTGTCAATTTCATATCATTTGACACAATCTGGACCTAGTAATAGTCTAAAACAATTCCACCTATGAAACCTTAACATCCAGTAACCTATTCTGGCCACAACCTCCTAATTCTGAATCACTCAGTTCCTAACCCACTGAACAGGTTTTGCAATTTCATGATGACCTCTCTTCACTTGATTGTCTCTTTTTATCCAGTCCATTATTTCCTCTATACAGCTCTATATGTCTTGGTGTATGACCTCAAGTCCCCTTTTAACAAATCCTTTAACTCCCTCATCTATTTTTTTTTATACCTGTGCTCAAAATTCTAGCTTTGCATTAAGCATATTGTTTGTGTGCCTAAGGCATTCATGTATCCATTCAACAAATAATTTTTAAGTGTCCACATTGTGTCCCAAGCACTATAGTAGACGCCAAGGATACAATGAGTAAAAATAAGCCAGACACAGTTTGGGCTTTTATGGAGTTTATGGCCAATCCGGCATATAAACAAGCAAGCACAATTAACAACACATAATATATAGGTGCTATTTTAGGGGAAACATCTTTTTAAGAGCCCATGGTTTGGTAGCTAATCTATATCAAAAGAAGTGATGCTTCCACTTTTGTGGTGCTTGGCTATAAGTATAAAATAAGGAGGGCACGTCTCACCCCAAAGACAGAGGACAGGGCCAGCTACAAAATTTGGAGAACCAAGTGCAACATGAAAATAAAGGACCCCTTGTTCAAACAGCAGTAAAAAATAATGTTATTAAAGCTATAAAATATATGTGTTTAGTATAAAATTTTAAGGGATAGAAAAGGAGCAAAATAACCCTAATCAAAACTCCATTTCTCTAAACAATACTACATCTTACATGTTTGGGCAAAATCTACTGCCAAGTGCAATCTGGAGCGTCTCTAGGGATCTAATTCTTTTCATTCACTTGAGGATAATCTGATGATATCAATACCAGCAAAAGAATAAGGGAGAGAGAGTGTGCATATAAGCACTACTACCTGACATATGGCTTCAATGAATTATACCTGCCCCACATAACTCTATATGGTTTCAGACTTCCAAGCATGTTTGTTAAAGTGATTCATTAAGACAAAGAAAGAGAAGACAAATCAACAAAACAATGTTCAAGGAGGCTTACAGTAAAATTTCACAGAAAGAGTCAAAGATGGCAATCCAGGTAAGAATCAAATAATGAGGACAGAAAATTACTGAATTAGAAAGCCTAAGCAAAGCACAGTTATTGTAATGGAGAAAAATCTATTTAGCCCAATTCCTGACACCCAATGCAAAAAGAGAAACATGTTAAATGGTCTTCTAGCCTATTTGAACTGTCACTACAGGTAAATCTTTTCCTAAATTTCAAAAGTAATTCCAAATCCATTAGGAAAAAAACAAAAGCAAGTGATGAGCTACAGAATGGACAGCACAACACAAACTGCAGAGGGCACAGCAAGTTCTTGCACAATCCAGGCAGGCACAGGACCACAGCTAACCCTACTCCTGGGGTGTTGCTGCAGGACACAGGGCAGCACATTAGGATTCAGATGGCCCATCTATGCAGAGCAAGGCTTTAGTATCTGGGGGTTGGAAAGCAGAATACTATCACCCCACCAACTGTGTGTGTGAGGGAGAAGTGTAGGGGGAGGGAGCAGTGAGTAGGGTTTCAGGGCCTTGACCAAGAAGAGAACGGTGTTACACTATTACTATCATCATTGGTCATATTATTTGGTACTGGTAGTAGCCACCATTTACTGGGTTTTCACTAAGTGCCAAACATGGAGTGTTTCACATACTCATATCCAGGCTTTCCCCTAATATTTGAAGGGCCTGAGACAAAAGTACAAATGGAGATCACATATCATGTATCTAAATACACAAACACTATAAATCAGGCTAACAAGCTGTTAAAAGCTGTATATGTCTTATCTTGACAAACAGACCTTCATAGTGTCTAGGAAGGCCAGGTTCAAATTTAAACTTCCTGGCCTCTTGTCAGTGTCATGCTGGAACATGGCAGCTCAGGAACAGATGGACCATGGAGCACCCTCTTTCCATCCTACCCTCTCCACCTTGTCCTTACCTCGAGGGTCCTCATGCTCGTGGTGTGCCCTCTGCAGCCCATACACACATCAACAGCTGCCTTTGTCCATCACTCCAGCCTTGAAGTGCACACACCTTTAATACAATCTGCCCTGGAGAGAACTGACCCTGGCACCCGATCAGTTCTGGGCCACGCAGACCGTAGAAGGAGTGTCAGTTACATAGGAAGAGGGCAGAGCTACTTACACTAATTTGGGGAATCCAGTGCAACATAAATATGTAGGATCCCTTGTTCAAGCAGCAGTAAAAAAAAATAAAGCTATTAAAGCTAAATACATATATTTAATATAAAAAATAAAAATACTATTGAAGCTACT